AGGTGAAAAAAATAAAGTTCACTGTACAAATCTGAGTACATTTATACATTTTGAGAAGTATACTTACACATTTTGTTATATAAGACACTATGACAGTTTAGAGCACAAATTTAAAAATAGAGGTTTTTTTTTTTTTTTTTTTCCGGAATCAGGGATTGAACTCAGACTGAACCAGGGATTGCCTTGCGCTTGCCAGGCAAGCTCTTACTCTACTGAGCCATCTCCCCGGCTCCTAAAAATAGAGATTTTTAAGCACAGAAGAAATAGTATGGCAATGAATCTGAATCATTAGGAAAATAAATTTATGATGCTTAGCTTGGAACATTTAATTAAGGTGGGGAACTTCTGCAAGATACCAGTTGTATAAAGAAGAACTGAACGAGTGCTGAAAATGACACTATTAGGTATCAAGAAGAAAACAGTGCCATTAATTTAAATAGTAAATAACTGTGAATAGAATGGAGAAACACTGACTTTATTTCTAAATATATAGGCACCAATAAAATTAATAATAATGAAAATGGGAAATGGTGGCTAAAATTTGGAATATGGATTTCAAATAAAATAAATGGACAGAGATACAAAGGTACAGTTAATAACTACAATCATAACTTCTCATTAAAGGATCCAAATAAAAAGAAAAGGATCTATAATAATTATAGAAATGACCTGTATGTAAGGAACAAAAAGAAAATCTGGTTCAAGAGAACAAAAAAGATACATCACTGTTCCAGTGTCAAAAATTAAAACAAAACTAAGATTTTACTCAACCACAGTTTCATAAGTGCTGCTAAGATAATATTCTTCAGCAACATTAAGGTTATTATTAATTATGGAATATATCAACACATTTGCATCATTTCCCTTTGCTTCCATGTTCCACAATTATGACACAAAGATGTGTACAACTAGATATCTACAAATGGAATGAATGAGTTAAGAATCAAATGTTTTATAATGAGCAGTAAGCATAACTTCCCTTTGCTACAGAGGGAGATAATTTGTCTTCTAAGCCCACTCACTATACAAATATCTTTGAAAGAGTACACTAAAAGAAAAAGCAATCATTTGTTCCATTCACAAGATTTCCAAAATTCAAGACAGATCTACGGTAACTTATTTCTTAACATGTGGAGTCCAAAATAGAAGAAAGTTTCATTAAAAAGATATAATAATAGTAATAAATGCAGACTGAATAGGATGAAAAAGAAAGGGCTGAGAATTAAGCAGGTGCACTTAAGGCTGATATATTATTTCACAACACTAGTAAGAGTAACAAGAACAAGGAAGTTGCAGACCAATGAACAAAGGATCTACTAGTAATTAAAACTAACGGGGGAAAATATTCAGTAGATAACTTCTCTAGAAGCAGTTATATGAAGGAAAAGAGAAAGGATAGAAAGGAAGAGGCACTTAACATGAAGAACTTACTTTTGAGTAAGTTCTATCAAACATGTAAATACTGTGGACACTTGTAATAAATATTCATTCATTCATTCAACAACAGATCTTTCAAGTATTCCTTGAATAAGGCAACTTTGGAGCCTTGACAATAAAATGATGAGCAACCAGAGACTTATCTTGGGATTCACTGGCAAGTGATGAGGACAGACTATGTAAGTACACACTGTCATCACAACTATGAAAAAAGTACATTAAACTATAAAAGAACATTAACAGAAATACATAGCCAAATGGGGAGAAAAGAGTGGAACTTCTAGGAAAAGCTTCCTTTTCAAGAGATTGAAGTTGTTAAAGACTAAACTGAGGGGCTGGAAAGATAACTCTGTGTTCTAAACTCCTTGCCTGGCAAGTACAAGGACCAGAGTTCAATCCCTGGTACCACATGCTGTGCCAGCCCTGAAATCCCAGGTGTGCTGTGCCAGCCACCAAAACGGGGCATGGCGGTATATGCCTATAATCCCAGTGCTGAGGAGGCTGAGAAAGGAGGGCTACTACAAGTCCGAGCTGTGTAGTGAGATCTTATACCTAATAAATAAATAAATAAATAAATAAGCAAGCAAGCAATTTTCAAAAAAGACTAACCTGGGATTAACAGGTATAGAAAGAGCAAGGCCAGTCATAATAAACCCAAGCAGAAAACAAACGGCGTATGTAAAAGCATAATTGCCACTAAGAAACAGAAAACACTAGTAAATCTGCAGTTAACATATATATGGAAGTATGTAAAGAGGTCTCCTAATACTGGATCAGAAATTGAATTGATGGCATCCTAGTTCTTTTGATGCTAAACTGACAGGACTCTGATTAACAATAAACAACTGTTAAAAAAAAAAAAAAAAAAAGACTCTGAAATTCATTCATAGGGCCAATGAAACAGCTCAGCAGCCTAAGTGCCTGATTTGGCAATCGCAAGGACCAGCGTTCGATCCCTGGTCCAGCATGCTTTGCCAGCCCCACCCCCAGTACACCCTGAGCCTTTGAAGGAGTCCAGGCACGATGGTTCATGACTATAATCCCGGAACTGGGGAGGCTGAAAACAGGAGGATCACTATGAGCTTGAGCTGCATAGTGAGACCCTGTACCAAATACGTAAATGAAAAAAAAAGAAAAAATTAGAATTCATTCATATATTAAAATTGTAATTAACAATGGTTTAGATCCTTTTGGCAAAAGACAGCATAAGAAAAAGAGTTACAGTTTAAATGCAAAGAAAAGAAAAACATATGAAACATTTTAAAATAGTTTATTATCCACCTAATGTCAAATAGTATTTTTTCCTATGAAGAAGCCAGAGAAACATCTACTTCCATGTTTGACTTATTAGATCAATACAAACATAAAAAATGTCAGTAGCATTCACTGGTCCCCTTAAAGTAACTTAATACAGAATGTGGGTTGGCATGCAGAATTCCCGTAAGAGCCCTCAGCTCCTTCACTATAATCAGTCCAGAAAACTGCAGAATGCAGTCAAGGGGAGAAGAGAAAAAATTGCAAAGCGAGTTGCTAAGACTTCAAAAACAAAGTAGTGTTGTGAAATTATGAAAGTGTGTCTCTTTTAACAGTGCTTATTATAAAGTGGTTCCTAGAAGCGAAGGACTTTTAATACTGAGGGATGCAATGTTTAGCAACTCAGATTCTAAGGTTAAAAGAATAAACTGGTAAACAACCTAGAAAGTACCAAAATGTGAAAATCTGAAGACCCATCTTCCAGTTGAGAGTCTGGCCATTAATTCCTAATTTTTATTAATGAAGTTCCTTCACACCCTAAAATCACAAAGAACGCTCTCTAGCTGACTAAGCTCCTCTCAAAAATCATGCAACCAATGGCTATAACATATACAACGTTTACTAGAACTAGTTTTAATCTCTCCTTCAATTTGGGAGCAAAGGAAAATGGCATTTATCTTGTACACCTGATCCTAGGGTCCTCAAAACCATGTTAGTGGGATCATCAGTGAAAAGTCTACAAATTAATGAGAAAACATCATTAAGAAAGTCACCTAAACACCTGTTTCTGAAAAAGCCATGAGGCATAACTTGCACTTCTCTTTCAATGTTCACCTCAAAAGGTTTAACTACTTAGCACTTGTTTTTTTGTAACATAATGAAAGCTTCCTGTTTTATCTCATTTCCATTAAATGTTTCAGCCCCAAAAATCAAACAAAAGTCAATGTAACCTCAAGTTACTTTTTCATTTAGTTGCTTCTGTTATATCCACTTTAAAAACTACTTCTGAGCTCCTTAAACTATATCATAAATGCCTAAACCTTGTACATGGGAAGCATTTCCAAGGTAGATATAAACTTAAATTTAAAAATTTCCTAAGTAAATGTGACTAGTTTACATAAAAACACATTAAATTTTAGATTGCTACATACTGAAAAGAATACTTTTAAATTACCAAAAAGGTTAGATTTTATACACAAATCCACCAATATCACTAAATATAACACTAATGTTGAGGACTAGGTGAATTTCCATAACAAAAAGTACAAAATTCACCCTATAAAGATAATACATGTCACAGATAATTCTTCCTATATCAGCTTACTTTTAGATCCATATAAAAAAGGCAAATGCAAATATAACTTTTTACCACAGAAATGCATTTAAATTACAAAGGACAACATAAATATTATTAAAAGGAAGGTCAATTTATTATTTAAATATGCTTGACTCATTAAATTATTCCAATTGTGTACAAAACAAAAAAATTAGAAGTCCTTGTCTAATTCAATATATGACAGATTCAAATAAGAATCATCCCTTCATAGATACCAAATTTATAATTGAATTGTTTGATCATTTTAATATCTTAATAATTTGACTCTGAGAACAAAAACTACAAAAAAAAAAAAAAAACCTCCCTACTATATGGATAATAACAACTAATCTTTCTTCCTAAAGCAGTAGTCAGTAAACCATGCAAATCTGGCTCACTTTCAGTGTTTATAAATAAAATTTTATTGGAACACATTCACATCTACTCATTAATGCATCATGAATGATTATTTTTGTGCTGCAAGGGCTGAACAAGATGGTTGAGGTCAATAAACACATAGTTCGCAAAACATAAAATATTTCTGTCTGTCCCTTTATTAAAATATTTACCAATCTATTTTTTTCCAATCTTTACTTTAAAAGATAAAAATTTTTTTCATACAGTACTAATCTGTAACATCGCCTTATCTTCATACAATTCCTTTCATCTCTTACAATTCTTCCCAATGTGAAACTTTCATTTTGAGGAGTATTATCTCTAGAGTCATGATGACAAGGCATTTCAAATTGGCAAATATTAATTTGCAGTATTCAGTTGCAAAACATAGTGCAGCAAAACTAAATCTTTCAAAAGTTTTTATTGTATACATTTCAATAATCAAGAAAGACAGGAAATTAGTTCATTTGAATTGTAGAGAACCAAAATTGCCAAGAAGATCCCAATAAACACAAACTACTTTTTTACAAAGCCTAATTTAAAAACTTTTCTGGAAAAAAAAATGCAAAATGATGGAATTATGATAGTTTTTACTTACCAGAATTGTGGCAATAGTCCATATATTGTGGAATTTGGATTGTAAAGGCTATCAAATCTGGAGCTAAAAGAGATTCTGGCTTTCTACTCTCATTGAGCCACTTGGTACTATGAAGGTCTTTAGTGTCAGAAGGACCTTGAAGCAAGGGAACCAATTTCTCCTTTCCACTGTCACCTGAACAGAAATATTTAGTGAAAACCAAACAAACAAACAAATAGCAACATAAATCTAAGTAAAATATTATTGGAGTGGCTTAAAGATGCTTGACCTTAAAAATATACTAACACCATAACATTTCAATTATATTTGGTAACATTAGCTGTACATTTAGTTGTACTCCTAAGAAGTCTGGATGATCAAAGCATTTCTAACTTAAAATTATGTTTAAACATTTTACTAATGAATGCAGAATAAGCTCAAAAAAGTTTACAAAAGGAAGTAATGTGAACACTGTCTTATAAAAATTCTATAGAATCTATACTAAGTTCAACTTACCATAAAATTTATTTTGTGCTGGGTAATTACAAATTACTATAAAATAAAACACTGGAAGGAAGGAGGAATAAATTACATCCCTAAGTTTAAAAATAGCTAAGTTTTGTTTTCAATCCTAGTAGACTAATAATTTTATTTACTATTTAAGTGTCATATATAACTTTTAATTCCCCCAGAAGTATGATATTCCTTCAGTTTTTCTCCCTCATAACTTCTTAAAACTATGCATTTTTAATAATTAAAAAAAGAATTTTTTAAAGTCAAGAAATATCCTAGCACTATTAAATATTTTAAGTAAAACTAAAAAAAAAAAAAACTAAAACCTCTGATTCATAGTAACAATGAGTAAATTCTTGTTTCAGTAACGTTCCTTGTAAAATGCAAGGCCAATTCTCCTATACAGGCAATAAAGTTTTACACGGTCCAGCTGCACATACCTGGGGCTTTGGCACAAATTTTTATTGATCCCATGGTCCCAGAGGCACATTTGACCAATGATGTGCTGCAGTACTTCAATTCAACATTCTGGATTGAGCCCTCAAGAGTTGGCAGGGGATTCTTAGATTTCACACCTAATAAAAGAAAACTGCAAATGTACTAGCCGATTGAATTTAAATAATTTTTATACTCCTTTACCAAGGCATTTAAACTTAATTATACTTTAATTATCCACCTCAGATGTTCTTACTGTATTTGTGTTAGGTTTCAGAGTTCAGTGTTTAAAAGGTGAAAGGATGCAATTTTTAAATAATAGGGCTGCACTCTCATAACTATATTTAGTTCTTGATTAGTTAAGCTCAAGAAGTAAAAGTAAATTTTAAATATTTACTTAAAAAACAAGAGAATATTAACAAACATCCTTGGCTTTAAAATATATGATAAGAATTACCTTCTGGAAACAAATTTTACTCAAATTCAGTTTAATTTTGGCAGAGGTATTTATGCAGGAAACTGTCTGCTTAAACAAAATGTTAGTCAGATGGAATAAGGAAGTAAAAACAGAGTAACAGTTTGGGGAAATTCTAAAACTAAAATACTGAAGTTTATCAGCAAAAGGAAAACAAAGAGCTTTTTATCAAGTAACCAAACAGATAAATATTAACATCGCTTCTACCTACTACTTCATGAAGGATAAACATAATATTAAATCCTTCCCAAAAACAAATGATTGGGAAAGCTGGAAAACTTCATTTTGGACACCTAGGTAAGTGAAAATTAAACAGGCAAAGAATCCACAGAATATTATTGTGACAGTACTTACAACTATGATAATGTTGATTATGATAATGGTGATCTCTAACATTTAATAAGGTCTTACAATTTATGCATATAAACCCATTCAATCCTCACAAAAGTCCAATAGTACAGATAGTATTAATATTCTCATTTTATAGAGGAGGATGCAATAGATTAGAGGAGCTAACTAATGTTTGGCCAAATCACAATTAGTAAACGAAAGAGATGATATTTAACATAATCTGACCCATCTCAGATTTTTGTCTTTTTACCAGCCATTTTGCCTACATTCATGAACACTTAACAATATAATTTCTAGCTCCTTCCCATCTTGCAAGATGGTGGATGAAAAAATTGAGAAGCCAGACACTAAAGAGAAGAAACCCGAAGCCAAGATGGCTGCTGCCAGTGGTACCGGCAAAAAGGGTAAGGTAAAAGCAAAAAAGTCCAAGAAGGGGCAGCCCCAATGCAGCCAAAACCCTGTCCTGGTCAGAGGAATTGGTAGATATTCCCAATCTGCTATCTATCCAGAAAAGCTTTGTATAAGAGAAAGTACACAGCTGCTAAATCAAAGGTTGAGGAAAAAAAGGAGAAAGTTCTTGCTATGATCACAAAACCAGTCGGTGGGGACAAGAATAGAGGTATCCACGTGGTTAAGCTTCAAAAAATACTTAGATACTATGCTACTGAAGATGTGCCCTGAAAGCTCTTGAGTCATGGCAAGAAAACCTTCAGTCAGTATGTGAGGAAACTTAGAGCTAGCGTCACTCCCGGCACCATCTTGATCATCTTCACTGGGCGTCACAGAGGCAAGACAGTGGTGTTCCTGAAGCAGTTGGCCAGTGGCTTGCTACTTGTGACTGGGGCCTCTTAGCCTTAATCATGTTCCTCTATAAACAACATACCAGAAATTCATCATTGCCACCTCTCCAAAAATTGATATAAGCAAAGTGAAAAATCCCCAAACACCTCACTGATGCTTACTTCAAGAAGCAGCAGCTGTGGAAACACAGACACCAGGAGGGTGAGTTCTCTGACATCAAGAAAGAGATACCAGATTTCAGAGCAGTTCAAGGTGGATCAGAAAGTGGTGGACTCACAGATTTTAGCAAAAAGTCAAAGCTGTTCCTCAACTCTGGGGCTACCTGCAATCTGTTTTTGCTCTGACAAATGGAATTTATCCTCATAAATTAGTGTTCTAAATTTCTTACTAAGAACCCAATTAAATAATTCATATATACATACATATATATATGTGTGTGTGTATATATATATACATATATATATATATATTTTCCATTTTTTCCCCTATCCCACACATCAGTTAAATACATCATGCTATCCTTCCTAACTGAAGTTTCTTTATTACATCTAAGTATTTAAGAAAAACATAAGCTGTCTCTAGTAGATGTATTAAAAATTATTTTAAATTTTTTGGCTTCAAGGGCTGAGGAGATACTTGGTAGCATAAGCACCTGCCTGGCAAGCACAAGGTCCCAAGTTCAATCCCAGGGATCGCATACCATGCCAGCCCTGGAACCCTAGGTATGCTGTGCCTGCCCCAGAAGCTGGTTTGGTGATGCATACCTATAATCCCAGGGCTGGGGAGGCTCAGACAAGAGGATCAGTATGAGTACAATTTGTGTAGTGAGACCCTGTATCAAATTTTAAAAACACAAATAAATAAAAATTTTGGTTTTAAACTTTAATGCATTTATGACACCTATAATCTCTCCATAAGATTATGCCATCTTTCTCAGGTATAGTCCTGAATGGGTACTTTAACTAACACACTGAATGATTTGCAAATAGTTACAGGGTATCATCTTCAAAACCAGACTCTCATACTCCAATCCTTACTTTAGAAGGAGCAGTTACTTTGCTAACTTTTATTTGGTCACCAAATAACTGTGCACCAAATAGTTGCTAGTTACCAATATTTGACACCTATGTTGCATTTAAAATACTATCCATTACCTTCAAAGCAAGAGTTCTAAACCGGAGTATGTCACAGACTTTAAGGAGTTATAAAATTATATCTAAAATGTGCATTTTGCTAAGAAATTTTATCAGATTCCAAAAATCCATGACTCAAAATGAATGAACTATCTCAAAAATTAAGTGGTACCACTAATATTTACACAATCATAGTAACAAAAGTACTAGTTATCAGCATCTACCACCAAGTACCATGTATACTGCCTACATTACTTATTCAGCCCACACAACAAAACTAAAGTATTTATTATCCGTTTAACATACTGAAGAATGAAGGCTTAGAGAAATACAAATTCATCAAAGATGTAAATCAGAAAATACCAAACCCTGGATCACATTTCACATAAGAAAGGATACTAAGCTATTCTGCACATTTAATTCTCCTGTTGTTTTAGGGGATAATTTATCTTTTTTCAACAACTATACTAAGATGAAAAGGACAGAGAACTCCATAATTCCTTGCTGTTTCCCACACCTCATAGACTCAGTCAATGCTAATTTTTCAAAAACCATAGAGAAACTATATAGGAGTCAGCACGTAAGAGGTACTGATAAAAATTCTCTCAAGAAACGCTCCGGGTGTTCAGAACCAAAAGAAATAAATCAGTTTCTAGCAGATGCAAAAGAAAGAATCTGGGTATTAAAAATGATTTTGTCTTTTAAATATAACAGTGTTTCTTTTACAGTTTATAAAACTCATGACTTTACTTTGAATGATAAATGATAGATCTCTGTTACTATTTCATGCACATCATATATGAAAATTATCAGGCGAATTTGTCAGAAATCTCTTTTGTCTTTTGTTGTTTGGTAGTACTAGCAATCAAACCCTAAGCTTTTACACTAAGTTATATCCTTAATCCTTCTCATTTTTTCTTTTCTGAGACAAAGTCCCAAAAAATCACTAAACTGCCAGGTTGGGCCCCAAGTAGCAATTCTCCTGCCTCAGCACCACCACTCACATGGAACCTTTTTTGCCAAGAATTTCACTGATGGGTAAATGTAGCTCAGTGAGAGGGAGCTTGTCTAACTCGTATGTGGCTATGAGCTCAACCATCTCTACTGTAACAGCACAAAAAAAAAAAAAGAAAAGAAATCTCACACGGACCTTGGCAAACTTAACAAAAATTGAAGGGCTACATTTTCATGAGTATTCATCACATACTCAAAATATTTTAAAACTTTTTAAATTGCTAAAATACTACTATGCCAAAATTTCTTATCAATTTTTAGAAATAATAACTTTTAGTGATATCTTGGTAGATTTGGGCAGTGCAGGAAAGTTGCTTATAAAACTATAAAATACCCTAAATATGAGCACTAGAGTAAGAGGCACAAGCATCTTAGCACAGTCTAGCACAGGGTCTAGGACAGTAATATGCTGATCTACAGGAACAATAGTCCCTGAAATTGTGAAAAGAACCAAAATGGCAAAACAAAATTAGTCAAATGTCTGAAGCTAAATAAATGTAACTTCAAATATGAACAGCATTAAATAGGTAGCTGCAGGCAAGTCACTATTATTTATGGCCAAAACACTATTTTAGGGAATAAGTGTAATATTTTGGCATGATGTACAGTGAGGACTTAAATAAGTCAGAAAGACAATCACAGAGATAGTGGGTGTCTCAGTTACATTTCTCTTACTACTGGTGCAAAAACCCTTCACCCAAAATTAAGGAAGGAAAGGTTTATTTAGCTCTCAGTTTGCAGAGGTTTCGGTTCATTCTCAGCTGGCTTCAAGGTAGAGAGAGGGGTGCATGGCAAATGGCAGCTGTTCATAGAGGTGGAAAACAGCAAAATAGCAAGAGCAAAAAGGGAGGAGCAGAGGCTGTGATGGCAGCATAGGCAGAGAGCAAGCCTCTCTCCCTTCCTTATAATGTATCCAGGCTATCTGCCCCAGGGCAGGTGTAGTGCTCAGACCCACAACTCCAGCAGCACTCAAACCTGTAATCCCAGCACTGAACCATGAATTAATCACAACCTCTAGAAGTCCACCCATGACTGCCTGAGGCTTGGGGGAACAACTGGACACAACCTGTAATACCATGAAAATCTTGTATTTGGGAAAGAAATGCAAAGTCCTCTCACACACATTTATGCAATGCTCATCAGTTCAAGAGAGCAAAAAAAAAGAACTCTCTAAGGCACTGCAACTGGAAATCATTTCATAGTGTACTACTTTTTGGTGTATTTTAAAATAATTATGAATCCTTACATAAGAAATAATATATTGTCAGGCTGGCCAAATAGCTCAGAGGATTAAAGCGCCTGCAAGGAGGCACAGGAGCCAGAAGTTCGATCCCTGGGCCTGCTGTGCTGGCCCCGCCCCCACGGATTGCTGAGATGGCA